TTTGAATCAGCTTGCGCAGATATGCAATACATGTGCAAGATCGAAGATAACGAATGTTTCCCGAAGAGAATGTATAATAAAACCTCCGAATTTTATTTGAAACGCTTAATAAAAGTTACAAGTTCCGCTCGCCTTTCGTTCGAAAGCATATCTACTGTTCCATCTTCGAGTATACTCAAAATCCCCGTCACTTCCTAAAATAGACGGTGATTCTAGAGACACCGAGCGGAATCAATAAATTCGTTGAAAATCGCCGGAAAGAAGGCCTCCGCGAAACCCACGGTTTTCATTAATACGAACGCAACATCCCCCGCGATCTATATACCCTATCCAGCTCCGCGGACCTAGCCCACCCACGGATCGCGTCGGCCGCGCTTCGAAAGCCACTCCTTTCCCGGATCGGTGTCCCCCGAGCAGCAAACAAGGGACAACCGCGTTAAAACGACGAACAAACGTAAATTCACCGGCCACCTTGTATTCCGTCTCCCCCGTCCCGTCCCGCCACCCTTGCCTCGGTCCGCGCGCACCCAGCCCCGAGAGCCGCCTATCGTGGACTGTAACCCTCCCCACGAAACTTAGATCAATATGTTGCGTCACGTTTCCCTGCCCAAGCCCCTCGTACCCGGCCCCAACATTCATCCACGGCCACCCACACCTTCGACCACCCCGCGCTCGCTTCATTCCCGTTCCCGTGCCTCCCCCACGGGCTACTCGCCCCCCTTACACGGTCGGTGACGTCACGCAGGGACGCGCCCCATTCATAGGCTGCCACGCAGCCAGCAGCCTAAGCCGCGACGACGAAATGAAGGGGCGAGGGAGGCGGAAAGAGGAAGAGAAGCCAGCGGCACCGGAGAAAAGAAGAGGAAACGAAGTGAAGATCAGCCGGGAGAAAGAGGGTCGCCTGGCGTCTAGAAGCTGCGGCGCCCGGAAAAAAAAGGTGGGATGAAACGGCGGCGAAGTGAAAGGGAGAAGGGTTCGTTCGGGCACTGAAATTTCACGAATCACGAACAACCCCTTCTGCAGGATTAAATGAAGGTTGCGTATCGTTGGCGGCGGGTCCGGGTAGCCGGCGAGGAAACGTACGTGCGGCCGCGGATCGATGATGTCGTAACGCGGCCCGTGACGTTTATCATCGTACTTGCGTGTAGCCTTCCTGCGGGGGCAGGCGGACGGCGAGGACAAAGGGGGGACACGTAGGAGTACGTCGGTGCGCGCGGGACGAGCCAACGGGACGAACCGCGCCGGACACGCTCGTCCGTCTTTCCCATCGGCTGCTGGATTTTTGGTTGTATTAAATGCAACGTTTGGGAAAGTCCGTTCGAGCGTGTTTCATGAAGCCGGATGGGCTTCTTAGGGGACTATGGAGGGTGGGCGCGATTGAGCAATAGCAGGGTTAGCCTGAGCAATGCCAAGGTTTTTCAAAGGCGAACTACATGAGATCATTGCGAAACTGTGTACATACTGAAGAACATCGTATCGAGACTATCGCCTCTGCTTTAGTATTGTCTTGGGAGCTACATTATCACGTTAGGAATACACTGTTGCTTTGATAACTACAGTATCGTCTCAAAAACTATGCTACTTCTTTGGGTACTGCTCTATTGCCTTAAGAACTATGCTATTGCTATGGGAACAACGCTATCGCCTTGGGGTCTACACTACTGCTTTGCTAACCGCAGCATCGTCTTAGGAATTACAGTATTGTCTCGCGTACGTCACTACTTTTGGAACTACAACCAAAAATTGGGATTCGCCCTCTTTGGGGATCAGTTTCCATTTTTCTCGAACGTGTTGAGGAATACTAGTAAACCCCTCTAGAGTGTTACTCGGATTGGTCAAGACGATATGAGAAATATGATATGGCGAGCGTGAAGTATCCTCCTTAATAGCGCGAAGGTTAATATTTCCAAAGGAACTTTCTGCCATTCCCCGAACGACAGGGTAGCAGGAGAGTTTCGCGGCGGAAAAACGGAGGTATTCCCGTGCAACGTTGTAAATTGTTAATCGTTCGGTTATTCTTCAGTCGGAGTTCGAGGTGGAAGCGGCGATTCGCCTTCGGGCCGTTTCTTAAGCCGCGCGGAGGTACGACGAAAACCAATAAACTCGCGGGAAGTTGTAAGCCGAAGTTTCCGCGCGCAGTCCGCCTCTATTATTGTACCCGCGGCTTGCCGGCTGGAACACGCGCGTGTGTTCGCCGCACGTTTCACCGCGGCCCTCTTATTTCTTGGTTACCGATACGCAACCCTTTCGAAAACAAGGGTCGCGCCACCCCTCGAGAATGCGAGGTGACGATCGAGTGCGGGGTAGATGAATAGGAAAGCGTGTGAACACGTGTACACGTGATTATTAAACTTCTTCCGCGCCTTCCCTTTGCCACAAAGCATCCTCGCGTCCCTTTGACATTCTTTTTATACGCCAACTATTATTAGTGATAGCGTTCCCAACGTGCTCGCGATTTTATAAAGGCAACTGATAGTTGTTCGTGTCGATAGATAATTCATTATAGAGAACTCCGCTGGAAAGTTTAGCCTTAATGGCAAACGCGCGAAGAATTCTCCGAGCAAAACATTTCATTTGTTTCAGCGTCGAAATGCAAAGTTCACTACTGTCAGACCTATGAAGATAATAAAGGCAACGTCGGAACAACCGAAACAGATCCCGTAGCGTTTGTAACCTGGCAAATAGGGTTCCAGCGTCAAAGACAGAGAAGCTAAAAGTACTCCGGAAGTCCTGTGGCACACAGTTCCCTTCCCATTGATGAAAATCCCGTGGAAATTGCGCGATCGAGTACGCGACGCATAAACGGGAAACGTATTCCGCCGGATGGTTATTTAGCGACGGCATTACGCCCACGGACGCAATGTACACGCGTCCGCGATAAGGGTTAATTTGTGTCGCGGGAGGTAGGGCGCGCGCGGGGCTCGCTATAGGTCAATTATTTCCACGTATTTCAGGCGTGCGCCACGATACGTGGCCACCATTCACCCCCCTCCCTCCCTCGCCCACCCCCGATTATCGTCTTTCACGATACGGCTGCACGTATTAAGTGTTTCCAGGAAGTTGACATTTCCAGCTCGGCTCTCGTAATCGTTCGCGCGCGATTTCGTAATTTTCGACGGCCCAGATAGTGAGCACGGCTCTGGGAATCCCGGTGATTCGAATCGTGGAACGCTTTTTTCGAATAGCTTGCACCCCCTCGAGTTCAGGGAATCCCGTGAAACATGTTGATCGACCCTTTGCGCTCCCAGAAATAAAACTATACGTTGATTGTAGACTCTAATGTGTTTCTTCCTTAGATTCCGGAGTTAATAATCGGGAAAGGATCTCAGCAATTTGCTAGATTGTACGTTCTTTCCGAAATTTAAATTTATATTAAAGAAACGACATGGTATGCAAATTATTATAGTTAAACGGAACCGTGTGCTGGGAGCGCGGAGGATCAAGATCGTTCACTACCGTTATTTCCGCAAAAGAAAATACATCGCCTTCGGGGCTGAATTTCGCGGAACTATACGACCCGATCCGCCTTTCCTCGATACTCGGGCCCCCTTTGAACTTTCTCGATGGACGTTGGCATTTACTGATATTCATGCTGCCCCTCAGTTATCTCAACCGACTCACAAGCTAATTATATTAATTAATTGTGTTCAGTATTTCATTGATATTCAAAGGTCAGATGAGAAATGCGCGACGAACACCTCCTAGAGAGTTATTGAGAATGGTTGCATTATTTTATAGCAACAAGAGACTCCTAATTATTATTACTGATTTCAAATGGTAACGCTTAAGTTTGCAATTTGACTTCGAAAATTAGAGGCAACCCTAAAATAAGACATCTTTCCAGTGACACGAGAAACTCGAGAAAAAATTCCATATCACGTTGCAGAATTTATAGTTTCTTTCGAATATATTAAGAAAAATAAAAGATTTCTCGAGAACATCAGTGTACAAATACTAAGGTACTCTTGAAACTAGCGAAGGAGAAATTCATTTTACAGCAAGAACGGTGATCTCGGTTAATAGCACTTAGCAGCTTCAGATATCATTGAAACTAAAGACGTTTGAACGTTCGGTCTTAGGCAGAACACCCTATATAAGTGATCGTCGATCTCGTTCATCGATCGGTGACGTGTCTGGTTAACCGGCAGCCCAGCCAAGCCCTCGATGTTCAACGAACGACAGTCTCGATTCGCGATTAAACGTCAACTGTTGCATAATTTCTGACGCGTTCGCTTCGTCGAAGTTCGCCGAGGCCCGCGACATCAAATCCAGACCGTTTTCTCGGGTCCTCACGAAAAGAATCTCGAAATGTCACAAGCTTTCCCCGTGGCCCCGCGTCGTTGCCATAGCGGATTCCCTTTGATCCCTTCATTTAGCTAATGAATCTTTTTCGGCCGCGATCCCGGCCGACGACAAATAAAACCGATGATCCCTTAAAGTGCGGATGTTCACTAAATTTAAGTGGTTCCCGTAATTAAAAGAAAAATACCGGATCACGGAGAACCTCTCAGCGGACCAGGATTATCGCTTCTCCGAATGCCGGATTGCAACGGAATCGTCAACAATGAATCAGACACGTTCCAAGTCGCGAATCGAATTTCACCAAAACGAGAGTACTCGAACAGTAACCAGTGTTCGCATTAGAAATGATAAAAACTGAGGAATCTTATGAATCCCAAAAATCGATGCCACGAACTTCTATGTTTCTAAGGAACCTAGAAAATCTAGACAAGAATACCTTCCGTTTCACACCTGTCGATATTTATTTCACTGCTAATACTTGTAACGCAATTAGCTAAAGATAGATTCTTACGTAAAGGTTATTAATATCTTTTCATCCATCGCGCCGCGAGAAACGAATCTATTACTCGACGTTGCTCAACGTCTCATCCACGCGAAGATGTATATTTTCAATCCACGATGAACCCTCGACTGCTCGTGTACTCTCGCCTATCTCACGCCACATCTTCCCGCTTCTTTTCCCGAATTTCGGGCCGTACCTTGTTCGACCGTAGATTGACCTTTCCGCCGCAGCGTGCGCAGCACCGGATGCTGCAGTAGTTGCAGGTGTGGCCGGCGCCGGCGGCGAACTTGGTTTTCATGCATATGTGACACGTGGCGTGCAGCTCCACTCCCGCCTTCTTGTGCCACTCCGAGCAGGTCCGTATCTTCTCCTCGAGGATCTTCACCTCGTCCTGCTTTCGTCTGCGGGCAAACAACGACGGAGAAATGATTATCGTGCCCGGACTCCGGGAAAAAAGTTTCGCGGATCGCGTGCACCGGGATTTCAACTAATAAACCGAAGCCACATCTCCACATGTCTGGCTCGTGATTTCCGCTTCGAATAACTTCGAACGAAAACCTGAGCCTCTCTTAAATTAAACGGCGGAGAGGAACTTGTTGGGACGAAGCGAGTTTATTGCAAACGAATGACGTTCCCAGCATCTATCCGGTTCTCTAGACAGCGAACGAGGAAAAGATAGAAAAATGTTCAAAGAGATGAATGGCCTTTAAAGAATTTTAGGCGCTATTTTGAAGCGACAATGGAGGCTATTAGTCGAAAGATTGAATTTACTTGCTGATCTCCGTGTGATAAGCTCCTTTATCTGGAACCTATTTTATTAAACAGCAGTTGGAGATCTTAGTTCTTAAGTTTTTATTTCAGTAATACAGTTGTTCGTAATTAGTTCAAATGCAACTTAATTATAACCACTGAATCCTCAGTTGCTAATCCCCGTGACTCCACGATGAACATCAAGAAAGTTTTGCACATTAAAATCTCAGTTAACCGTGGCATTTCGAATTCACAGGAACCTCGGGACCTTCGAAAATATCTATGCACGGGTCGTAAAGTATTTACTTAACACGGTTGCCGGGCTACACGTGGAAAAAGTAAAGTAATAAGCTGCCGCGTTTCAATTTCTGACTGCCGAGTCGGGGAACTCGGTCCGACGTCGACCGAGATTTTTCCGCAAATTGCGGCCGCTCCGCGCCTCCTCCTCCCCGCCCCACTTTTATCTGTCCCCTCCCCCTGCCTGCTCGATATGATTTCGTTTAGATGCAGCTACTTAATTCCGCCGGCGTAACTAATTCGAAGCCACTCGTCTGGTTCCCGAGGAACGAACCATTTCGCGTTCAAGAGTCCAATTCCGCTAACTCCAGCGTCCCTTCAGCTTCCATTACACGATTCGACGATCGAACAGTCGGCGAACGCGTTTCAACGCAGAAGAACCAACTCGGGAAGAGAAAATAGAAGGAAAACGGTGAACTAAAAGAAGCGATCCTCGTATCCGTGCTGGAACCCTTGAGTATCTTATTAACGCGCTTCTGAAGCCCGTGTCTAATTAATAAAGGACACCTTTCGCCAGTCTCCTGAACTTCGCGGTCCGTTCTTCCGAAAAGAAACGAACGTCTCACTCGCAATTCACGGATCCGTTGTGCGAATCACCGGCAGATTGAACGGAGAATTCACTTCGCAGGCGTTCAGAAGGCAAACACGCGATCGTAGCTTTCGTTAATTAGCGGCAGGAAGATCGGATTGTAAGCGTAAGCTGTCCACGGGGGATGGTCACACTTTGATGTCCGGCGGAAAGTCAATTTATCGGCGGGGTAATTGAACTGGAACGGAATGTGACCGATGCCATCGATTTATTCTAGCCGCCCGCCCGGCTTAGGACATTTCTACGTCTTTCGCCCGGCCGGTGTGAAACTTTGATGGACGCGTCTCCGCTACCCTCCTAGACTTTCGCGTATCGATACCCCTCATCTCTACACCCACGATCGCGTCCAATTATTCCGCGCGCGGAGATTCTTCTAGCCGACAGCGTCGTGTGTCTACATGTCTCCATTGAAACTTTCCTTTTTCGAAAGATGTTCAACTTGTTTGGTCAACGCTGCAGCCTCGTCAAGGATCAAAAGAAGCGACAGCTATCCCTGATTCTCCGCTTGACAAGGCTAACTGCGACGTTGATCAAGATAATTCCTCCGCCGTCGTGCATCAGTTTTTTTTCCCTCCTTTTCCTCTTTTATAGTTCACTCGTCAAAGGAGCCGGGCCTCTAATTGCGCGGAACGCGTCGGGAATCAGCGGCAGCTGCCGCCAGGGGGTTCCGTAAACAATGTTAGCCGGCGTAATCACAGGGGAAAGGACACACAGCCGGGGGGTCCAGGTACCCGCGATTCCCAAGCCAAGTAGGTTACCAGCGTTCCGCGGGCGGAGGAGGGCGAACGGGAGGAATGTGGGAAGACTTGGCACCGGGCTCGGGCTTCTCGACCGGAAGTCTCGGTCTCTAGGTCGCGTGTACCGAACTCGCAACCTATAACCGAAGGGTTGTTGGCACCGGCGAACTCCGGCTCGGATACCTGGGATAAGGGAAGCGGCGAGAACGGGCCGGGATTCCTTCTGATCGTTATCTATCGGGTCATCCCTATCTGTGGAGGGTAGCTCCGACGGCGGAGGGTGTTTCGTAACGCCCACGGAATCAATTACGCGTTTAGGAACGTACGGAACGGTATCAAGGTTTCTGATCAAGTGAAAATTTCGAGGGCTAGATGTTTAGTTTAGCTGCATTTAAGAGATACACGTGTCGTGAACGTTGATTCATTTTGGGATGATGATCTGCGAGAAGTTTGGAGCTTTGACACTTTAACGATAGTAAAGGTTTTCTAAAATGATTTTATAGATCTGAATGGATATGAAGATAGAACAATATTGAAATGAACTGTGATAAGTTCACAGTTCATACTTATCGAAAGTCTAAAACAACAAGTGGAAAGCAGGAAGTTGCTAGCTCTAAGAGAGGGACACAATTAGGGCGGAACGTTAAATTTAGAGACAATTAATGGAAGACACTCCGAAGCAAATTACCGCGAGAATGGTAAGAAATTATGGGACGAGGGCTGCCTTTCTAACTCAATTTTTGGATAGAGGCGAACCGGCCGCGAAAGAGAATCCGCACGGCCCTATTAAACGCAGGCGAAGTTCGCGGCGGAAATTTGCATCGAACAGTCGCAAAGCGGTAACCTAAATCTTGAGTTTGCCGATCGCGAGACAAAGGTCGCGGCGGCGGCATGTCACAAAGTACACCGTGTCCGCCTACGTTCCTCTAATTACTTTACCAATAATCGGCCGTGGGTGCACGCGAGCACCGATCGAGCCCGCGCAGGGAAAGAAAGGGAAAGAGAGGGAGAGAAAGTGCTCCGCTCGGCTTCTCGACGTTGGGCTCGGTGTCCGTCACGCGAGAAAAAAAATAATATATATGAGTACACGTATATAAAATATATATATATATATATTTATGTGTATATGTATATTGTCCGTCCGTGACAAAGGGGCAGATCAAAAGCGGAGAACCGAGCGGAGAAATGTAGGTTACTTAACGAACACCTCGGTGATTTCGCGCGCGCGACAATTTCTCTTGTGCCCGCGAAATTCGGGCCGTCCGCGCGTAACGCTTTTCACGCGAGCACGATCGACAAAGAATTCTCCTTATCCTACGCGTCGAAACTTCCGACAGCTCGGTATATTTTTTCTCCGCGCCCCGCCACACCCTCCAGCCCCACGAACGTTCACCATTGTGCTCGCCGCGGGATTTCGCGCGGCGAAGAATCGATCAAACCCTCGAAAATAAATGTCACTCGATAAGAAGGAAGATCCTTGGAGGAGAGCATGATTTCTCGTTCCTCGGCGAATGGAACGCGACCGATATTCATGGCGAGGGATGAAAACAGATTCTTTCCAGAGACTCCTTCAGGAATTAGTTAATCGTTTCTGGCCCGATATACAACGCTCTAAATTATTTATTACTCATCACCTCTTATTCTTCTGCTACTTTTTTACTCTATCCAGAATTTCTTTCCTTTCCTCAAAACAGACAGAGAAATGAAACAAATCTCAAATCCCATGCAAGTCCTCTAAATCTTAGGAATCCTTCGATACAATAAAACACTATCGGACTTCGGGTTTACATCCATTTTCCCTCTGGAACTGAAAACATTTCTCAGTATTCACCGAGGCTACGGAACATCCTCCCAGCGAGTTCTTCCAATTTTAATCGCACAGTTTCTCGACGCGTGTATCGAAACAGCCGCGACACGCAGGTATCGAAAGGTTACGTGTCTATTTTTACCGGGATCGCCTTCCGATACGCGAGCGAGGGTTCGTTTCTATAGAAGAACTAAAATTACCGCGCAACGTCGAGGAGGGTTCTCCCTTAGTGACGTGGGGTCCTAGCAAATCACGGGACAAGGGAGAGGATTCTTGGACCTATGGTCTTCCTTCTTTCTTCGCTTTACCGCGAGCTGCCACCCTCTATACTCCGGTATCCGAGAATTTACCGTACCAATCCAGCCTCTTTCGCACTCCATCCACGGCCGGCTAACTGCATACCCTATGCATACCCTATGCAACTGCAGCAGCTCGTTACCGAGCCACGTCAAGGCTTGCTGCCTTGCATTTTACATGCGTCCCTACACGTACTTGTCGTCCACATTACACGATCCTCGCGCATCGGTATGGCGGAGCACGCTTTCCTCATTACTCTATCTTCGTCCCGCCCTCTCTCCCTGCCCTAACGCCCTCTCCGTCTATCGTTTCCCCTCGATCCAACGCGTCTAAACCCTCCCGCCCACTTGCCCCCTCGCAGGACAGAGCTGGGGCTGGCTCTTTGTCTCTCTTTCCCGGCCCGGCTTGCTTTCTCACGTCCCCGTGTTCCATCAGCGACAACCTATCAATAAAACGCCTTCCTCGAAGAACGGGCGACCATTTTCCTCGGCGTCGACTCGCTCCGACTACACCTCGCTCTCCCCTACACACAGCCCCGACCCGTAATTGCATGCGAACGGGGAAGCTGACGCGACTGTCACGTCGCTGTGACGCGGCCAGGTGAAAGGGAGCTTTTTTCGGAACAACCGCTCGTCCTATTCGTGGATCGGGAGAAACGCTGGAGATGGGGCTGGAGGTGGTTATTGGAAATGGGAATCTAATCTTCGAGCTGAGGCGGAGAGGTTGAGTCAAGAGTAAGGGCTTCTTTTCTTAATAGAAAGAAGGTGTAATAGAGGATTGTTCGAAGCCAACTGTCGCACACTTGCGATTTCATTGGGAATAGTGTGATTCTAGGAAGAATGACGTTTCTTCATTAAGAAATTTGCTCTTGGAAATAATCACGTGTAACAACATGTTACGTACATTCGTAATTAAGCCCTGGATAGATCGTGATAGAAGATTTTCAACCTCTTCAGTTATAAGATATTTATAATTCCCTTATCTAGGATGCTTCAGAACAGTCATTCATCGATGCTTGCATCTTGAAGATCATAATCGATTCTTAAAAGCTGACAGATAAAGTAGCTTATCTTCAAAGGTCAATCCTAGGACTAACACAAGCGCTTTTAAACTACAACTTCGATCGAAGGAAACGAATCTCGAAGATCCACATTCAACTGCATCCTCCAAGTCGCTAATTACTTGAGGAATAGATCAGAGATGCTCCCAATCAGTGGTTCACTGAATATTTCCAATATATTCCAGGAAAACGACGAAGAACGATCATTAAGTTGGGCGCGCCAGATCGCTCGGGGATTAAGACAACAAATTCTCATTTCGCGGCGCGAAACCGGCAGGATAATCGTCCGGCGACGATGTGTGTGCGGCGCGATGAATACCTAAATGGAAGATGTCGCGGCGGTATAAAGCGGTCAAGGACTGAACGGGCCAGGTGAATCCAGAAAATAGGTGGAACGCGCGTTGGTGGCGTCGGACGGCGGCAATTTGCTGGTCAAGAAAGTACGTATGCCGGATCGATCGGATATCGTTTCCTCCGTTCAGTAATTCCCGTTCGCCGACGCGTGACCGTCCCATCCACATTTCGTGGCTCTGCCACCCCGGCCTGACCATTGAGGTCTCGTACTACTAGCCGACGCGACCGCTCCGACTTTGTCTCGCTTTACTTATTCATTCTCCCGCGGAGACACGCTCGGAGTGCTTGGTTTTGAAACCAAGAGGCCTTTCCACTGTTTACGAATTGCGAAAGATTGCATAGAAATCTCTGCCGTGCATAGATACCGTATCAATGAGAAAGTTATTTATATTTCGTATCTTTTCAATGCTGTGCCACACGTTCAGCAATTCATGATTTTAGTTCCTGATTTTCCACCAAGTTCCTGTTATACGAATTCAGCCTTTGACTTGTACTTGAACATGAACTGTTCCAGGCCTGATTCACGATAGCGGCTATAGATATTAGATTGTTTAAGAAACAATTTTTTCGGTTTGATCGTCGTGTGAACAGTGAAGGTTTGTCTTATTGGAGATTAAAAGTTTACGGTTAAAGGAACATAATTCGTTGCAGAGAAGCAGTGGGTAGTTTATGTGTGTTGTGTACTTTAGTCGGGTCTAGATTGCGGATGCGTATAGTGGTGCGGCTTTATTGCCCACCACTGTATAGTATTCTTATTTTTAACTGCTGCCTTTGTTCTGGGTACTTCGAGACTGTACGCGTATTTGATCCATAGCAGTATTTTAATGGAAGCGGTACTTTAACCCCTTGCCCTAGAATACAGTGCAGATTAAATCCGAAAGAAATCTGTCTCTTATCAATATTTAATACTCAGAACAAACGCAGGTTTGCGCAACATACAGAAAAATCTATTTCTTCCTGTTAAGAACCATATGGAATACAAAATAAATTCCAATATAATTTTTAAATACATAATCAAACGAAACTAATCTCTGAAGAAACTGAATAATAATAGAAAAATAAATATATAACAGATAAATCTGTTGAAAAGATACAAGCATACCAAACACAAAAAAATGATTAATCAAGAAATTAAGTAAACCACCATACAATATTCTCAAACAAACGATAAAAAGAAAATACAAGTATCCATAAAACCGTGCATAGTAGACACAGAAGATAGAATTGAACGAAACAAAACTTCCCCGTAGAATTCAAAGAGAATTCCAAGAAAATTTCAAGAAACAATCACCGAGCAGAATCGGGCAGATTAAAGCGAGCCCTTTACGCTAGTAGACAATGGAATGAATAGAGAGCAGACGGTACGCACCTCATAATCTCATTCTCCTTCTCCTCCTCCTGCCTCTGCCTTATCATAACCTCCTCGATGGTGCTCCTCTCCTCGGGGGTGAGGTGGGACATATCAGGCACAGCCGCCATCACGGACGTAAGATAGGAACGTGCACGGGAAGGTCTAATCGCGAGAAGTTTAGCGCGACGCGCGGTCCGGCGCACCACCGACGACGCCGCCGATATGGTCCCGCGACGAGGTTCGCTCGCCGCGCGGCAACGCTCCTTCCTACGGGATATCGCGTCCTTTCTAAGACTACGGGAATGCTGCGCGATACGGGGGGAGTCATCCGACACCTGGTAATCGTACCAGCTGGCCGACGCGACAACACGTCAGACCCTCCGTGGTAACGTGGTCACTCGGTCGTGTTGTCGCCCGCTTTTTCGTGCGTTCCTTCCTCGGGCTCTGCTGCGAGCTGCTGATTCTATCACACCTGGCTCCTCCAACGAGACACGCGACGTTTGCGTAGCGAGTGTCCGACCGGTCGTCGATTGCTACCACGACGACGCTAACAACATCAACAATAACAACAACAACAACAACAACGATGATGTTGACGATGACGACGACGACAAAGTCGCTTGACCCCGTACGCTCGGCCGCCGATGGGAAACGTACGCGACCACGGACCGCACCGTTTATCGTTCGCGCGTTATCGTCGCCGGCGGGGCTCCCTGCTCCCTTCCGATGCTCGTTCAACACCGCGTCCGCATCGACGATTCCCACGATATCTCCGTGATCGTCGTCTACGTCGGCGTCCTTGTCGTCTGTGTCTCTAATCGTCGTACGATCACCACTAGCCGCATCTGTATGACAAATCATGTTCACAGGCTGTGTGGAGGTTCTCGCATTCTCTCTTCCGTCCACGTTTTACGTCCTCCGCTCGTAGCCAGCTTCATGGAACGGCGCTCCGCTGTAACTCTACGGGAGTGTTCCTCGATACGCGACCTTCCGACGAGGTTTCCTCCTCGCGTCCTCGATACGATGATGATGGCGGCAGCGGCGGCGGCAGCGGCGGCGGCGGCGGCGGCGGCGGCGACTGCGAGGTTAGAACGCGCGCAACCCTCCTACCCTCTGTCGCTGCCACGGAGGACGCGTGTACTCGGAGCACCCGTTGCC